GGGGGGGGGGGTGGGGGGGGGGGGTTGGGGGGGGGGGGGGGGGGGCGCGCGCGAGCGGGTTGCTACGTGGCAGGTTTCTGGAAGGTTTTTTTTCTGGCCGCAAGAGGGCGCTTGGTAGCACTGCGGAATTTTGGGGGGCGGGGTGGGGAGGGGAGGTGGCCTTTGTTCTCCTGCTGGAGGGGGTCGGGCGCAGGATTTACTGGAGGATTCTGGATTCATTTACCTAAGAGGGGAATGTTTTAAGATCCCTGGGTTTACTGGGGAGCAGCTGCAGGATTCGCAGGGGGCAGTGATGCCGTGATCTGCATGGTCGTGTGACTTAGGGTGTCGTGGACTTGGGAAGAGCGTGGACGCAGATTAGTTTATTTTCACTGGTTTTTGGTTTATGGGGTCTTAGGAAGGTGTGGCTCATTTGAGGAGGATGAAGAGCCGTAAAAGATTAATTAGGCGCTACCGTGCAGGGTCTTGAAATTGTTGTTGCGGCGAAAGGGGGAGGCAAGGTTTTGGGGGTGCAGGATGTCGATGCCTGCGGGTGAAGGAGGGGAGGGGCGGGTGGTCCGCCGCTTTATTATTTTCTAGCGATATCATATTCTATATCGTGTGTCCCGAGACCACATAAATGAGTGGAAATGGTGTATTGAGAACTGGGCCTTTTAGATTTAATTAATTTATGTTTAATTGGATTTACTGAAGGCTAGAGGCAAGATATCTGTATTTTTGCTTATCAGAAGTGGAATCTTGTTCTGGAAAGAACCATGTGGCAGAGGTCTCGTTGAGATCGTCACGTCTCCCTGGTGCGGGGTACAGAAGGCCCCCGTGGGCTTATGTGCGAAGGTGCTGTTGGATGGCCACAGGTGGACTCTGGCTGGTGGTGGCTGGCGAGGCATTTAGGAGCCATAGCGGCCCTGCGCGATGGGCTGGAGTGGACTGTGTGTCCCCCTCCAAGCCTGAGACCTGTTGGGCGCCCCCTGCCCATCCTACGCCAGGCTTGCGCCTGGCAGCTGCAAGTCTAGCGCGGGCGGGGGCGCCGCAGGTGGCTGTGCTATTGATCTCTGGGTGCGCGCCGCGCGCCCCCTAGCGGTCTATGCCTGCAAATGGCTCCTGGCGCGCTAAACCGTCCTTGGAGTTGCGCATGCGCACACAAGGAACACTTGTGACCTGTCAATCAAGTCATCCTTACCCCCTCCCACTCCTCTCTTCCCCCTCCCACTCGTCCCCTCCCACTTCTCCTCCCTCCTCCCTCCTTCCTCCACACCCCTCCCTGCTCCCTCCTCCCTCTTTCCTCCACACCCCTCCCGCCTCCCCCTC